GTTCCTTCAGGCTCTTCCTCCAGAAGACCTTGAAGGGAAACCTTGGGCTCCCTGGGCAGATGGGTGAAGGTCGGGCTCCACAGGCTAAGCCACCCTCCTGGAGAGTCAAGCCAGAAAACAATCCCACCCCCCAGCCCCAGGAGTGCTTTATCTATCCAGGGAAAGGGTCAGAGCAAAGGCAACTCTCTGGTTCCACAAATGGCAGCCCCCTGGACTCCCCATATCGGGCCCCATCCAGCGGGCATCCGGAATGTTCTCAGAGAGAACCAGGCAGGCACTGGAAGTTTAAAGGGAAGCCAGTATTCTGCCCAGGCCAAGGGAGCTTGTTTGTTAGCAGTTATATTTCAGGTCCGTGTGGCCTTGTGGTCAACATAGCTCCTTCCAGATGGTTCCTTCGAGCGTCCCACCACCCTTTCCAGCTGGCCCTAAAGCACGGCTGACGCCCGCTCACATTTCCTTCTCTCTGACTCTCTTCCAGGGGCGCTGTATCAACTTCACCAGAGTCAAGAACAATCCACCTGCCAAGTACCCTCTCAACAACGCCTACCACACCACGTCGCCGCCGCCAGCCCCTATCTACACCCCTCCAGCCCCTGCTCCTCATTGCCCCCCGCCGCCCCCCAGTGCTCCCACCCCTCCAATCCCATCCCCACCTTCCACTCTCCCCCCTCCTCCTCAGGCCCCGCCCCCCAGCAGAGCACCACCCCCCTCCCGACCTCCTCCTAGGCCTTCGGTCTAGAACCCAAAGTTGGTGGCTCTGGGCTCTCTCAGAAACTTTGGGGAGGTGGTTCCTCTGTGGAGGTAGAACAAGTCTTTCCAGGAAGAGGAGGGTTCCACTTTGGAAATGAGTGGGGGACAAAGCCCACTGACTTCACACACTTCAGACATCGTTCGCAATGCCTACACACCGGAAACAGTGATCCGCGGGAAGAAACAGAAATTTTGAATGCCTGAAAACAAATGATGGGGCAACTGCAGGCACAGGTTCAGCTAGCTGGCCAGCGCCTCTGGACGATGGTAGAGATGGTGAACCTGCCAAGATGCTCTCCATGGGATTCTATGTCACCGAGACCGAAAGGAACCTCTCTCTTTCACCTGAGGGTGAAGCCCAAGAGTTGGGAAAGAAATCACATTGCCGGGTCTCCGAATGCTGCCTTCCTCACTCCGGTCTACTGCCATCTCTTGACCCAGGATCCTTGGCCTGGGAACCCTGGGACCCTCTCCTCTGTGTGCTATGTGAAGGCAGGTGCCCCTGACAATAACTTTGGAAAAGTCCAAGTTCTAAAGTATGGCAAGAAACTCGACATCAGAAAGGTACACCCTCAAAAGAATGTGCTCCTGGGTGTTTGCAGACGAGCACAAGCTCTGCCGGTCTTTTTCCCGGTGTCCAAATGAGGAAGAGAGCAGGTGTTTATGATGGGGAAAGGTACGTCGTCATGTTGGTGTGTAAGGGAAGTCAGTTTTGTACACAGATGGGACGTGTTGATGGGAGTGTCCGAGAGTTTCTAAACCCCCCTCGCCCCCCACCCCAGGCCATCAGCAGCTAGTAAGAGGTGTCTGGCTTTGGCCAGCCGTGGCCCCTAGATCAACAGAGAGTGGCATGGTTGAGAACCAGCCGGTTAATGAGACATGTTAGAAATCAAAATGTGGCTTGGGTTTCAATCACCTCAGATAGGAAGAAGCGATTGATCCTGTTTTGTTTCTTTTTTTTTTTAAGAGGTAGACAGAAGTTGATCTTTCCAAAATGGCATCATCAATACCAACCCTACCATCTCACTGATAGGTATTTGCCTTTCTTGGTAAAGTGTGTGCCAGAGACTTCTAGGTGCTGCTGAGACACAATGGCCCTGACATAATAAGGAAACTATCCCAGGTGCTTTGACTGATCCAAAAATAGAGTATACATGTATGGATGCAAATAATCATATCCTTCTCCTTGGCTTTACAACACACTCCCGAGAATGATCAGCTTGTCACCGAAGTGAAATGAATTAGTTTTACAGTCCAAAAATGGTCTGCCGAAATTCGTACCACTCACTTCCTCCAGCTTTCCAGAATCTGTGTCCGTCAGTAGCCCTGTGATCACTTTCTAAACACTGGGCATCATCACCTGGTGGTGAAAGCAAAGGTCATTGTCAAGGGACTGCTATTCCACTTTATCTTCCCTTCAAGATTTGCACGAGGAACCTTCGATGGTATAGGGGTGACGTGTTGGCCTATGAGGTTAGCAGTTCAAAAACCACCAACCCCTCCACTGGGGAAAGATGAGGCTTTCTAATCCCATAAAGAGTTACAGTCTCGGGAATCCACAGGGTAGTTCTATTCTGTCCTGAAGGGTCACCTTAAGTCAAGCTTGATGGCAGTGAGTCTTATAAGGAGTTTTCAAACTTTCAACAGGACCTAAAATTCTTATCCTCATACCCCTTCGAATTCTCGCATCTCCTCTGGAACAAAACAAAATATAAAATCAATGTTTGGGTCTTCAAAGACCCACCGAGTCATTATCCTATTGTCACCTCACTTAAAGAGCGTGGCACACACTCTACCATTGTCTCTCCTTATCTACCAATCGTGGCACTCTTGCTCAAGTGAGCCCAAATATGTCTTCACAGCCCTCCTGAAATCACAACTGCAAAGTACCGCCACCTGTCCGTCAGAGTTGAGAGGGACAGACGATCCGTCAATGCCATCCCTTCCTTAGCAAACAAAAAGACAGGGATCGTGGAAAAGGGGAGGCCCCGGGACATAAAAAAGTACGGTCTCTTAAAATCCATCTAGGCCAAGTGTGGAGCCACCAGGCCCTGAAACAACAGTGCCAATGTCAAACTGCCGCTTGTCCGAGTGCACCTCAGACCCAGCCCTTCCCCACACGTCTACCTTCCAGAGCATCTCCCACCCTCCTCGTAGAGCTGAAGCAAACATGGTTTTCAGGACTCCTAAGAGCAACCGCTCCCCACCACCACTCCGCATCCTGTAACATTATCTCTTTGTAAAATACCAGTCGTCACCATCTTTAGTATTAGCCCTCGTGAAGCAAGGGCCAGAATGTCTCAGGCCCCTGCAGTGCCACTGCTGGGCCCCCCAAAGCCATTCCATAAGTGAATGAGTATCCCAGGCTCACAGCCCAGACGTTGAGCCCATCGTGACTGTGTTGACTGCTGGCAGTACAAAACAGTCCACCCCTCCCCACCCCACCCCAGCCATTGCCCAGTGGCTCATTGCTGCCTTGGGAAAGTTCAAGCCAAGATGTCAGACATCAGGTGAGAACATGAAATTCGGGATCTCTACAGCGCCGTAGTCAAATGTCCTGTGCAGTTTCCAGGATGCTATGTTAGTCCGATGTTTTGATGAAATCAGTGAACTGCAAATATAGCATGATTTTGGGGGTAGAGGATTCACAGGGTTTGTCCTTAAAACTCACTGACCTTGTCATTGCTAGTACTTTAGAGTGGCAATCGACAAGGGGACACTTGAGGACCCTGTGTGAACAAGGCAGGATTCTACCAGTAGGTGATAATAGGAAAATTAGTTAACGAGTTATAAAATCTGTCCGGAAGTGTGTCATTCCCTGTAGGAGGTAGAAGACACATGATTGTGATAAGGAAACTGCACGCTGTTATTTTGTTCTCTCTCAACCCCCAGGTGATTGTGTCCATGACCTTCTTGTTTGTTTATTTTAATAAAAAACCAAATTTTCGTTGTATATATTCGTATTCCATGTGTTAGATGGAAGCATTTTCTATCCAGTGTGAATAAAAAGAACGGTTGTAGTAAATTATTATGAAGCCAATGATATTTCATGGCAGGTTATTTTACCAAGCTGTGCTTGTTGTTTTCTCCCTGTGACCGTATTGCTTTTATAAAGGTGCAAACAGATACGGAAATGACGAGACCCTGGTCTGCACAGCTTTAATAATTTAATAAGAACCCGGAGTGCTGTGGCCCCTGCTGCTCACACACAGTTGCTGGCCTGGAACCACCCACTCCACTAAGACGCAAGGGCTCGGTCTCCCTCTCTCTCTCTTATCAAGATGAAGAGCACAGCTGGTGGGTGAATGAACACTCTTGGAAATCTGGCCGTGGGTCACCTCCTGGGACTTATCATTCGAATGGGCAGAGATGATCTCAAAGTCTCATGTACACTCAGAATCAAAGAAGTGGGGGAAATCCATCAGAGAAGTAGGACAGATAGTGGGGAGATCATGAGCAACCCTTTCCGCCTAGTGCCAACTCAGAAAAGAAAAAGTAATGCTGTGCAGAATGGGTTGAATTACTTTGCAAACTATATAGCTGCCTGCAATGAAACGTCTGTTAACGCACGTTGGGTGGGAATGGGGTGTTCTAGTCCATTGCCTTTTCTACTTATTTGAGCTGTGCTGTATTAGCATCCCTGGCTAGCCAAGTTAAAAGAATTAGATTTGCTTAGATACACTTAACGTCTCCCTCTCCTTCTAAGTCTTTCTTCTTTCTGTGATGATTCAAAAGACAGTTACGGATCTTTGTGCCTGAGTTATTGTTTAAAAAAAAGCAAAAAGAAAAATTAGTCATTGCTGCATCATTCTGTAGGAGTCCGGGCTGAACCTGTACAATGACAGATCCTGAAAGTTGTTCTTATTGTTGTGTTTTGGGTTTTTTTTAATAAATAAATAAATTCCTAAAATCCAATGTTGGTCTGGCTGTCTCTTTGTTATGGAAATAAAGTATGGATTGTGCAAATGCATGGTTTCTTGGCTCTCCCCCTGACTCATGGTCCCATTCCAGCCTGCCCCACACACTGAGCCTTGTACGCTGTGGTCATTTTCTCTATAGGTGCCTTGCCTCCCTTCCGGAAGACGTTGGCCTTGTTTACTCCTTTGCAGCTCCTCAACCCAAGAGCCTCGAAGGGTGTCCTGCACAGTCGAGAAGACTTTACATCTCACCAAACTGTCTGAAGCAACTTGAACTCTGTAGGGCCCTTGACAACATCAGCAAGGATCTGAAAGATCGTTTATAAGACCCAACAATAGGGAGAGAAAAATCTTGGCAAGGAAGTCCAAGCGTAACGGGTCTGCAATAAATTAAGCAATTTCAAAGTCATGGTTTGATACCAGCACCCCATGTTCTCTGGGATTGCACGTCCTAAGGTTCAACCTAGACCTAAACTTAGGAAGTCAGCCAATGGGTCATAATGGTCCAACCCAGTCGCATCAAAATATTAAGTTGGTGTCCCTAGTGGTAACTGCTTCAGGCCCTGGGGTCATATTGGGACCATTCCCTCTGATAGGGAGTGTTGTCCGGAACCCCCACTGCCCCCCTTGTGATGCTACTGGTCAAGTCCTCATCCAATCATAGGGCTGACAGAAAGCTGGGGTTTTCGTTCTGTTGTGCACAGTATCACAATGAGTCAGGACCAGCTGCAGACAGACGTCACAACCATCTCATGACATGAGCTCCCGGCTCGTGTTCAGCAACCTTTCAGAGAATACATTGATTTTGTAACCCACTACTAGAAATTCTCAGTTATCCAAGCACTTTAAAAAAAAAAAAAAGCTTTAAATCTAAAGCTTGGTTACAGGTAACAACTGTTTAAAAAAAAAGGCTGTCATTCTGAAAATTATATTATCACAAAGTAAAGTGGCTTTTTCTGAATTATTTTATGCCTTCCACTAAATACCAAGATATGGTCATATCTTCTTTTGTTTCCCAACATTAATTTTTTCCTAGTACAGTGTTCAATATATAAAAGTGATCAATGCTAAATGAAAAAGGAAAGCTTAAAGGGAAAACAGAAGAACCCAAAGGAAAACATAATTCACCTTGTCAGGCATGGGGTTTGGCTTCCTATAACAGAAATGTGACCTATCTTACAGCGGTCCACTGGCTGCTCAAGAGATCAATGACACATTGCTTTGGTCTGCTGCACAAGACCTCTATACATGTTGTAAAGCAAGCAGCTTCCTTTGAGGACTGAGGTGCACCTGATTCAAGGTATTTTCAGTGGCTTAATATGCACAATCAAAAGGAATGATATTACATTCAAAAAGAACATTGCAAAATCAATCATGAAATACAATGCTGCCTGTGATTATTATATCTATCTGCCTTCATGGAAAGCCAATCAATACAACTATTATTCCATTTATGCACGAACCACAAACGCTAGTGATGAAGAAATTGAAGAAGTCTCCCAATATCTTCAGTAAGAAATTGATCACACATGCGATCAAGATGCATTGATAATTAATGGCCATTGGATTATAAAAGTTGGAAAACAGGAAAGAAAGGGAGTTGGAATACAGGGACTTGCTGATAGAAATGAAGCTGGACATCACGTGATAGAATTTTGCAAGGCCAACTACTTGTTAATAGAAAACACCTTTTTTTCCAACAGAAAAGGTGACTTTACAAATGGACTTCTCCAGAAAGAACAGACAGAAATCAAATTGACTACATCTGGGGGAAAAGATAGTGGAGAAGCTCAATCTCAGCAGCTAAAGCCAGGCCAGCGGCCGACCCTGGCACAGACCAGCAATTGCTCATATGTAACTTCAGGTTATGCTGGAGAAAATTAAAACAGGTCCATAAGAGCCAAACTACAGCCTTTTTATTATTATTATTAAATAAATTTATGGGGGGCTCTTACATCTCTTATCACAATCCATCCATCCATCCATTGTATCAAGCACATTTGTACATATGTTGCCATCATCATTCTCAAGACATTTACTTTTGACTTGAGCCCTTGGTATCAGCTCCTCACTTTCCCCCTCCCTCCCCCACCTGCCCTCCCTCATGAACCCTTGATAAGTTTTAATTATTTTCATATCTTACATCATCCTCTATCATGCTTCACCCACTTTTCTGTTGCTTGTCCCCCGGGAAGGGGGTTATAGATTGATCCTTGTGATCCATTTCCCCTTTCTCCACCCCACTTTCTCCTTATCCTCCTGGTATCTCTACAATCCTTGTTGGCCCTGAGGGGTTTATCTATCCTGGGTTCCATGTGTTGCAGGCTCTTATCTGTAGCAGTGTGCATGCTCTGGTCTAATCTGATTTGTAAGGTAGAATTGAGGTCATGATAGTGGGGGGAAGGAAGCACCAAAGAGCTAGAGGAAAGTTGTGTGTTTCATCGGTGCTATACTGCTCCCTGACTAGCTCATCTCTTCCTTGTGACCCTTGAGTGAGGGGATGTCCAAATCTCAGTCTTGAGTCTATCCAACCTGAATTTCAAGAACAGATTTGTTCCATTAAACACTAATGACAGAAGACCTGGTGAGCTGTGGGAGAATTTCAAGGACATCAATCATAAAGAAAAGA